AGGTCAGCCTTTCCAAAGTTGGGTAGCTTCTGTCCTAACTGCTGCAGAGCACCAATGGAAAGAGCTCTCTGAACATGGAAAATTTGTGGGATCCACTAGCTGGGTGTCGGTAGCATCCAAGGGGTGTTCTCCAGCACACGCAGAGATAGGGCCATGAAGACTTGAGTATAAAGCCATATTTGCCCTGTGCTTTGTCATTATTCCAACTGGACTCCTAACAGCAGAAGTTCCTACCACCCTGGGAGGTACCTGGCAGCTAATTAATGGCCTATGAAATTTAAATGCCCCAGGGAATATCACTTCTCTGAATCCTTCACTGAGGAAAAAAATCATAATCCACATCTTGCAAAAATTGGGATTTTTTTCCCCCTTTCCATTAAAAAAAAAAAAAACAGCCCAGTTACTCTCTAACAGTTTGGGGCAGGAGGCTGATAGGTTGTGTTAGTCAGCTTTCTGTGGCTGTGACAAAATACCTGAGGTAAACAACTTAAAAGGAGGAAAAGTTTATCTGGCTTAGTCTCTGCAGTTTCAATCCATAGTCACATGGCTCTGTTGCTCTGGGCTTGGGCTGAGGCAGAACATCATGGTGGGGAACACATGGTGGAACAAGGCTGCTTATCCCATGGTGGCTGGGGGGGGTGGGCGGAGAGAGAGAAGAGGAGAGGAGAGGAGGGCAGGGGACCAAGGACAAGTGTTTTAATCAGCTTTTTCAGTGCTGTGACTAAAAGATCTGATCAGCACGATTATAGAGGAAGAAAAGCTTATTCGAGGGCTTAGGGTTTCAGAGGTCTCAGTCCATAGACAGCAGGCTCCATTCCTCAGGGCTTGAGGTGAGGCTGAACATCATGGCGGGAGAGGGTGGCAGAAGGAAGCAGCTCACATCATGGCGATCAGGAAGCCGAGAGAGAAACTCTACTCTTCAGATACAAATATATATCCCAAAGCTATGCCCCAATTCCCACCTCCTCCACCCACACCCCACCACTTCGGGTACCACCCAGTCAGTCCCTATCAGGGGCTTAACTCACTGATTGGGTTAAGATTCTCACAACCCAATCACTTCTCTGAACCTTCTTGCACCATTTCACGTGTGAGCTTTTGGAGGACACCTCACAGCCAAACCATAACAACAGGACCTCCCCTTCAAAGGCATGTCCCCAGTGACCCGCTTCCTCCAATCTACTAAAGTTGTACCACTTTCCAATAGCGCCACTGGCTAGCAACCAGGCATGTGGCCCTTAGGGGACACTTCAGATGGTAACAGGAGTCTGTCTCGATGTAGTGCTCTGATATGCTTTCAGGAGGAGGAGATGACGTCCCTTTCTGAAGCAGGCTTAGAGAGCAGGAGAGAATGTAAGCACACACTCACGTGAGCCGGTGGCTGACCCGGGGCTTCTCTGTGAGTGAAACAACTAGTCCGTGGCAGTTCCTGGTCCCCGAGCTCACACACTGACCAGCCTCCCCTTTCCATCCGGAAGGGCCCCAATTCTTTGTCCCTGGGTTTGATTGCAAGGTCGGTACTAGATGTGGGTGCTGCTATTGTTTCTGCCTCTTGCCACAACTCCCAGCAACTGGGAAGTGGGGGCCTTTGTGAATGTAAGGACCACTTCAAGATTTACGCGTTCTCTCAGAGTGCTTGTGCATGAAATTGTCCTTGAGAAATACTTGTTTTATAGGAACTTGCAGGAACTACTAGGGGTTTTTTTTAAAATCCAGGCTTCCTTCTAGTGTTCTTGAACTAGTAGCTGCTGTAAGCCTTGATTATTCTTTTCAATAGCTGTACTTCAACAACAAAGAGCAGCCCTGAGGAGCAGAGGCACAATTGTTACCAACAACAAATAAGAAGGGGAAAAAAACACACCCAAAAACCAGAATAATTGAATATTAGAGCAGGAACAATCAGCTTCACGCTTTGTGCCACAGAACTCAGTCCACGGATGCTGGTGATCTCCACTAGGGAGAGAAAGGCTTGATGACTGGCCGTGGGCCTCAGACTGAACATGGAAGAAAAGCTTTTGTCCTCAGGTTGGCATTTGAAGCCCTAGGCTCCAGGGCTGGCACCTAGTAGAAGCACAGCACAGATCGATTAACTGGATAAATAAATGAATTAAGTGCCATGAGAGCCCAAGGGAGGAAATAAGTGACTGTGCTTGCCAAGTATTTTCACAAAAGAAGCCTGAATTGGACCTTAAAGGCAGGATTATTTCTGCAGACATCAGGAAGGGAAGCTGCAAATCAGAGCACACCGTGTGCAAATGTCCAAAGGACAACGTGGCCTCCCAGGGAAGCACAGGGGGCCACTGGGCTTGGTTGACTTCAAGCTCCAGTTTAGTGTGTCTGTGGAATTCTAGTTTTCAGCTCACTTGTGTCTCAAAGGTTTGATTTTTCTTTCCCTTAAGCATTAGGAACGCTAGTAAAGGCTAGTTTGTTGTTTTTGTTTCTGTGTTCCCAAGTCTTTGACATTCACAACTGAGTTTTTTGATTCTAGGTGGTAAGTTGCCATTTCTGCACAATTCGGCTTTAAATTTTTCTGCTTAAATGACCATAAATGTTTCATCGAGTATCTTTCTAAACTTATATCTGACCCTCTAGTTTTTCTACCCATGTTTATAAGAGCTAAGTAAATACGGTCGACTGTACTCTGACATAGGCGACAGAAGCACTCAATGATTGATTTAGGTCTCAGGGGCACCCAGCTGGCACCTGCAGAGACCTGCCTTAATGTTGATGTGTTCAAAGCCGGTTCTTTTCACCTGGTACTTAGGGACACACACAACCACGCCACCTCTGTTTTCTCTTAGTACAGAACAGATTGGAGAGCCCTCCCGTTCCCAGTGTGTGTGCTTCTGGAGTTGGGGGCTGCTGCCGATGCTGCTGAACTTAGCATCATTGATAGTGTAGTCCATAGGGTGCCAGGCAGGTGAGGCACATGCCAGGAAGGGATATCCTCTCTGTCAAGGTGCTAAGCAGGAGGGCTGGTCCCAAGGAAGAGGCAGAGCCAAGGGCTGTGCCTTACCATTTCCATCCCTAGCTCTCCCGCCACGTTCCCAAACTTTCTTCCTCTTTGTTTGCAACCTGCTAATAGAACTTTAATTTTCCATGAATAGTAAGTGGCTGAAAGCAGCAAAGTGTTCTCCTTACCACTGGGATTGATATTTTTACTAAAACCTTAGGCTAAAGGTTGAGGGCAGATTATCACAGCCTCTTAAAGGAGACTAGGGTGTGGGGGCAGGAGAATAGCTGTTGGAGCCCCTGAATCAGGATGGGTAGCCCCTGAATCAGGACAGGTGAGCTGTAGCTTCTGCCAGTGAGTGCAGTCCTCCAGACACCACCAATGTGAAGAGACTTGGGGCCCCATGTGTATTTTCTTATGCAACCCTTCATTAGAGGTAAACTGTATTCTCTTGAGTTCAGCTCTTTATCATACTTGAGCCCCTCCTTAAAAGGCACATATGGACAATATATGAACAGGGGAGTATCTTCAAGATCCTGAATCAGGGTTCTCAAACTTTAAGGTGCCCAAATCACTGCAAAATCTCAGATAAATGCAAATTACATTTAGTAGCTGGGAGGAGCTGCTGGGTGACATGGATGCTGTATGGACCACTCTTGGAGCCACAAGGCTCCAGAGAGCAGTGTTGTCAACTTTGCATCTCTGGATAGATTGGCATACCTGGGGAGCTTTTTAAAATCTTGATGCCAAACTGTACCCCACACCAGTGAAATCAGAATCCTGAGGACAAGGCCAAGATATCCCAGGTTCTAGAAGCCCCCACATCATTCCTGCCCTGGTTGAGTCTGTAAGAAAGACGTGAGTGGATGGTGGGACTGATTCCTACCACTTTGGAAATCGGCCACAGCATACTGTGACGGTCTTGACGTGGTGTCCTTTAAGGGCTGTGAATTACAAATGAGCAGCTGCCTTTCGTGTTGCCAGCTTCGGAGCCTGGGCTGAGGGCCTCGCGACGCTCTTGCCATGCCCCCTGCACTGTGGCCTCTGCTCTTGGCTGCTGCAGGCTCTTTTCGGCAATCCTAATGGGGCTCTCAGAGTCCAGTGAGAGTGAAACCGGACATTGTCTTCCTGGGGCGAGGGTTTCTCGGCCCTGCTGCACATTCACATGGCTGGTCCGCATTCCGCGTGCTGGACGGTCCGAAAGCTCCCCGTGCGATGCCGATGCGAAACCCCGACCGGGAGCTACAAGGAGACTTTAAAAAATAGACATATTTGTTTTTCTTCAACACTTTTGGAACTGGTTCTAAATAACAAAAGATGCTGGTCGGATGATAAACTGTAGAAATGTTTTTTTTAAATATGCAATTAATGATTTTTAAAATGTTTCAATATGTATATGTCGGCTTCCTGTCCCCCACCTAGTATTTTTGGGGAGGCCAATAGGCACTTGAGCTGGGTGTGGAGTTCACCAACATGAAAATCAACTAGGGCGCTGCATTAGTTAAGGTAAGGCTAGCTGCTAAAACAGATAAAACCCAGACCTTCCAAGTTGGGCAACTGTGACAAGGTCCGCGGGTAGCCCTCCTCTGCAGTCTGCCCAATGGGAGGGTGGGAGCGGGGCTCCAGGGGGCGGTCTCCCAGCTGGGCGGGGCCACGTGTGCTCTCACGCCATTGGCCAGAGCTCCATCACTTGGCTCCTGGCCCTTCGTGAATGAGTGCAGTGAGGTCCAGGGACTGCGGAGCCTTGGCCAGCAGCCAGCATTGAGGACTAGCGGACCTTGAAGTGATGATTGATCTTTCTTTCTTTTTTTTTTTTGTACCAGGGATTGAACCCAGGGTTGCTTAACCACTGAGCCTCATCCCCAGCCCTTCTTTATATTTTATTTTGAGACAGGGTCTCGCCACATTGATTAGGGTCTCACTAAATTGCTGAGGCTGGCTTTGAACTCGCAATCCTCCAGCCTCATCCTCTTGAGCCACTAGGATTTCAGCTGCACCACGTTTGAAGTGATGATCTTAGGGAAGTGTTCTCTTCTTTTCTCCGCAGATATTGCAAACGGCACCAGTTCAGGGGGGTACCGCCCGCCTCCCAGAACCAAAGAAGTCATCATCAATGGCCAGACTGTGAAACTTAAGTATTGTTTCACCTGCAAGATTTTCCGGCCCCCTCGCGCCTCCCACTGCAGCCTGTGCGATAACTGCGTAGGTGAGTAGGAGCCAGGGTCACAGGGGCCACGTGGGGGATGTGCTCCCAGTAGGCGGATAGGCGTTGTGCCAGGGCTGGCGTGTGCCCATCTTTAATCCTTCTCCACTGAAACACTCAATAATAGTTAATGTTCAGTGTATTTGCTTGTTACCATGAATTGCATCGACCAGGCCTAGAGTTACCAATCTTTTTTATTCCCCCCCCCCCCTGCATTCTGCAATGCCCTCGGCCTTCAGTTCCCCAGCACAGCGCAGAGATAAAACCATTTCATCCCTAGGCCGCTCCATGGCCCGACCGGCTGGCCCCGCACCTAAGGGTTATTCTTTGTTCAGTTCTGTTCTGGAGCTGGAAGCACTGGATCCAGCAGGGAGGAGGGAGGCAGAGGAGGGAGATTTCCTCATGGGGGGGCCGTGTTAGGGTCTTTGTTCTCCAGCAACCTCCACTCTGTCTTCTGGCCTTCTCCAGGAGAGATGAGGGAGACAGGCAGAGGGAAGGTGAGAGCCCAGAGGTCCCTGATTGTAAGACTTGGTCTGACTGTTGACCTAGCGCGGGATTCCGCCACTGTGGAGGGTGCCAGAGCCCTGGAGGTGGTCAGCAAGGGTTCCCTGGAGCTGCTGCCCAGGCCGGCAGTCTGCTCCCACCACTAGGCTGGATCTCCTTAGAGATGAGGTGGCTAGGACATGGTCAAGTAGCAAGAAAGACAAAGGCTTGCCACGGCGACAACCCGCGTTTCCTCAGCCCCACGGCCAGCCTCTAGTAACACAGCCAAGGACACTTCTGGGGGAAGGAGCAGGAACTCTTGTGTCCTCATACCTGAGAGGACAGGAATACCCCCGACAAGCCTCGTTTCCCTCGGTCACACCGATTTCAACCCTCCTCTTGGGTCTTAGAGCTTGTAGCCTGGATTCTTCCTGAGAAAAATACAGTTTTATGATAGACTTCCTGCTCGCCTGCTGTTCCAAGCAATCTTTTAATCATCTTAAGTTTACCTCATCTTCACTTTAATAATCTAGAATTTGGTACAAACGCCATGTTTTCCCTATCAGGCTTTGTTCGAGTTGTATTAACTTCAACTACTATTAGTTGTACCTTCCCAGAGGGACAGCATGGAATTCCGTTCCATCTTTCCTAGGTGGTAAGGAGTCTTTAGTGAAGAGCCTGGGCTGTGGCACTGATTGGCCTGAGTCTGGATACTGGCTGTGTTTTAAGCTACTAAACTCTCTGTGCCTCAGTTTTCCTGTCTCTCCAGTGGGGTTGGTAACAATACCTACTTCATGGGATGATTGAGAGACCCTAATAAGTAAGTGCATGTCAAGCGTTCAGAGTAAGCCTATCCCACGACAAATTATCTGCAATTGTTAGCTCCTATTACTGTTATTACTGCTGCTACCTTCATGTCTCTAGAGGCTTTCTCTGGACAAGGCCTTAATACATGTAGTCCTCTGCAGGTGTGATGACCAAAACTGCAGCTAGGCCTCCAGGTGGGGAAACACTAGGGGACATGTGACAGGCTTGATTTGATTTGGTACCCTTCTTTGGCAACACCAGCCCACAGTGGCCATCTCATATTCATCTCAAAGACACTTAAGCCAAAACATCATGGCAGCTTACATATCTTCTGGGGAACAATCCATAGGAATTCTCCCGCCTCTTCTTGGACTGTCATTTTGACCTCAGGACTTCTTATGTAATGGAACAGTATGTAACTTACACTTCCTCAGGTAAACTCCTGTTATTTTACGTACCCTCTCCTATGGGCCTAGAGACTTATTCTAGTCTACAGGGAGTTGTTATCTACAAGTCTGAAGTATTTACTGGGCACTTCCTCCCCTTTTTCATTTACAAAACTTTTACCCATTTCTAGACACCCCTGTTTCCACTTATTCATTTCCATCAATTGGTCTCAATCCTGTTTCCTGTCGCAGCCTAATTCTTGATCATGATAAAAACTTTCATTCCCAATTCATAGTGACTTACTGTTTTAAAATCTCCTTTGGATTATTGTCAGACACTTTCCAAAAGCTCATATGATCACTCACAATTTATTCCCACTATTGCTCCTATGTGTAGATGGCCCTTAAAGAACCCTGATGAACTGAATGTAAAACCCCCTTACCAAAATCATGTTTGCCTTTCCCCAGCTGACAGTGTGCTTCTGCCTTAGTGAAACCATTTAAAATGATGTCCTGGCCTATCAAGTCTACCAGCAGTGATAGGGCCTTGGGTCTAGACTATCTCTAGGAGCAGGTGTGGCCTTCTGAAAACAAAGTCACAACAGCAACCAGACCTCCCCCTAACCAGCAGAGTGGTGTTCTAGAAACCAGAGGTCCTAAATAGCAAAGGGAAAAGGAGAGAAGGTGACAAAGTCCATGGTGGGTCAAGAGGATGAGGCTGCACCAAGTGGTACACCACCAACAGTGTCCTCTAAGCCTGGTCCACAGTCCTGGGCCTGGGTTTGGCTGACCCTAACTAGAGTCTGGCTCTATAGAGGGCAGGGGAGGTGAGAAACATAGACTGATTGAAAATGAAGCTGCTCATAGAACTCCTTAAAAAAGCATGCAGTTATTCAAATCTGCAGAGCGTCGAATTTCCAGTTAATTCCATGACACTTAGGCCTTTGTCATGACCAATGATCCGACCAGAAGATTGAACCTTCTGCATATGGGAAGAGAGTGGAAAGCAGATGTCTCCCACAGAGAAGGGTAATTGCAGAGTTTGCCAGTAGTTTATTTTTAGATAGTAAGTTTTTACTGAAGGAATTCTACTTTTTGCAGCAAGTGAAAAGCACAAGGAGTACTGAAAGCCAGGGTTACAATATGTGGCTTCCCTTGTCATGAAGAGCTTTGGGCTGGCACTTCCCAGGCACAGTAGGTAGATCTTGTTTTGCAAGAGGAGACGGGAGAGGAGAATGCACTTTCCCAGGTGGCTCCGAAGAGTATTTTCCTTTGTTAAATAAGTTTGAAATGAGAGCCAAGTCCTGGGACTGTGGGTTTCTAGTTGAGGATGGAGGGAAGAGCTTTCTGGGGAGCAAATGCTGGTGCAAAATAGAACTTCTGGGCAGAACCTTGTGGCTGGGAGCTGACTCCTAGGACACACAGACCCAGGGCTGCACCCTGGTCCTGTCACTGAGTAATCCCAGAACCTGGGCAGGTTATCCTAACACCTCTGTGAAACAGGGTGACCCCGGGGCTACCTCAGAGGTTTCTTTTAGAGAGTAAATGAGATGGTACCCATCAAAGCATCCAGAACAGATCTGGTGCACACTAAGGGCCAGTGCATACCTGCCATTAATGTTCATCTCATCAGTAATAGGACATGCTGCTGTTAGGGCTTCTGAATAGCAGATTCAGACAGGATTGGTTGTCACAATCACAGTCGTCACCTTGCTCTCTTGGTAGGATTTAGACCACGTGCAGTAATAGAAGTGTGTACGTTCTTTCTGCCTTGGATTAGCTCCATTTCTGTCTCTGAATCTTCCTCTCTCTCTAGTTTCCTCTGTGTCCATCACACCACTTCTGCACATTTGCAACAGAGTATTTGGGGTTGTTTGTCCATCTAGATGATCTTGAGTTTATAAAACATTTGTAAACAACTAGCAGCTGAGGCCCTATGCCCTCCCTCTCAGACCTTCAGGTCACTGGAGTGAGGGTGGTAGAAGGCAAGAAAAGCCAGAAGGGCCCATGAGGTCCTCTCAGGCTGACCCAGTGCATGCGGTTCACCTTCTGTGACCAGGTGGACCCTGTGGGGGAGGTCTGTCCTTTGGTGGCCCTGGTCCAGGGTCAGAATGGTCCAAGCATTCTCTGGAATTGGGCATTTCTAATGGAACCTAAACCAGTAACAAAAAGGGACTTAGCTGAAATTAATGTAATCATACACTGTGGACAAACTAATAAGAAAGTTTGCTAAACATGAAGGCTCGCAAGCATTTGCCAACTGTCTGTACAAGAGTCTGTCTAACTTGGGCCACATGAAGACTGGTCTGCCTAGGAGCTGAGAGGGGCCTCTGGAGTCCCAGACCTGCTGTCCTGTCCGGGTTAGGGGACCCTCTGTGCTGGAGGGCTTCGCAGACAAATGAAGGAGTACACAAAACCCTCAGGCCATTCCAGACCCCGTCCACAGCAGCCTCCCTCACACAGGGACACAGGGTGAGCACCGGTCTGGTCATTGATTTCTACCCCTTCTGTTATTTCTGGTGTGGGTGCTACAGGAACCTCCAGAGGCCCCCTGCTGAGACTCAGTGTTCACCCCTGCTGGTTTGGGTCAAGCACCACCCTCCTTACATCCCTACAGACCCCCTCCTCATTCCCTCTCTTGCTACATTTTCTATCCTGGCTCCTTGACCAGTCATTTCTCGCTCCTGTCCCACGGTGGGCCCTCCTGATGCTCTCACTGCTCCTGTGATGCGAGTGTCCACACTCAGCCTGCTGGTTCTGTGTGTATAGCACACACTCAGCTGAGTGCCACCACTGCCCCCCTCAGAACCCAGGTTTGCTTCAACATTGTAACTCACGTTAAGAGGTGAAACGGTGGAGGTGTGGCGTTACATCTGCCTTCAGGTGTGGGTAGCATCATGGAATTCCTTTTTAACTCTTTGCATTTGGTAAGAGGTAATAAATCCTCATGGGAAAGTATATCATTTCAGGGGAGAGGCAGGGGCTGGCATTGAATCCTCCTTGGAACCCAAATGCACAGGGCTCTCCTGGGCTTCTTAGACTCCATGATCTTTGCATTTCACCAGCTTTAATGAGCATTTATGTGTCAGGCACTGTGATAGGAGCTAGGTATGTCAAAGTAAAAGCCAGTCCCCAGGGATTGTTGTTAAGCACTGACCAAGGAGAACTTGAGGCAGAAAGCATTATATTTATCATATTACAGAGATCAAAGAGAGTAATTTTATGTTGGTAACAAGAACAATTAAAAATTGTCAACAACATGTATGCACCAAATAATATTGCAACAAAATAAAGTAAAAGTTGTCAGAAAATGCAAGAATAAATTGG